GACATTTCTTTAGACAATTGATACTACTGTCGAGCAAAATTCGGGCCCCATAACTTTTTAAGGAGAATCATTTTGCAGTTTTAATTTCCATTTTCGTAAATAGCATTCAAAACCCTATCGATCTATCTGGGTCTGAATTCAAAGTTCCAAGATAAGTAGACTACCCCTCCCTGGTAAGAAGTGGTCACAATGAAGTGAACCAAAATCAACTGAAACCAAATGTACTAAATTTATAACCCTAATTTACGGCTTTAGTGCTAGCTTTACGGCGGTAGAGCGAAGCAGCGTAATATTTTTCGACCAAGGAATACATGCCTGCAGATATAGGTAACCAGGACTTCTCTTAGGACAGTTAGTTCAAATTTAATCGAAGATTTGAGCTGATCAACCAAAGCAAGTCCTCAAACACATGAATTCAGTACAACTACCAGTCCTCAAAATTGAATAAAAGTAAGCGTAGAGTTACGGTAACTGCGAGTTGTACGCAAGTGCAGACTGCTACCCGTGTGTAAATAGGTAGCACCTTCGGGGAGTCCAGGCGTTTGACACTCCTACATTATCTTGAAATCATCCCCAGCTCTTTCACCTCTTCACTGATTTCTCATTGGGTACACCCCTTTCCAAGTCCCCCATCTTTCCTAACATCGGTAAATCACAATTACAGAGGGAGGAGCGGTCCAAGAACTGCCTCCTCGTATTGTTTGGGCCACGGTGATGCTCCATGGCAGTTACCCAAGGCCTTATTTACTGAGAACCACACATTTCGTGAGGGAATAATAGCATTTCTCGTGTATACTAAATCTTAATATAAAGGCAATTTGTCATGAAACAAAAACACAACCACACCTCACCGATCCTATGGAACTTTATCCATTAGAAGGTTCTGCGGCTTGAGTTATTTTCCCGCCCGCGCTTATTTGAATGCACTTAACATTGGAGCGCTCTACGTCATGCTGTGGCCAATAACGTTGCTGGTTCTACCACTAGCCCAGCCCACTATTCTTCCCCATCCTGCTTCCCCTGCAAATAGACCTGTGGCCACTGTTACTGCAAAGTATTATGCTGCTGGTAAGAATACGTTGTACAGGTCCTTCTCAAAGATTTACTCTTGTTGTCGTGAGAATGCATCGTCACACACTCGTGTAGTAAGCGTCGTGCGCAATGGAAGCGGATTGACCGTACTCTCTCCAACAATACGATTAAGGATATCACGTTTATCTTTGAAAAAAGCATAAACTAATACATAGATACAGGAGTGATAAAAAACAGTAGTATTGCTACGCATAACATAAGGCAGTGAATAATGACGAGGAGAAATTGAGGAAGTGTTGATGAGAGGAACCATACAAACAAGGCATTGTTCGAGGCAGGCAGCTGTGGGACCCGAGCGTCCTCGGTCCGGACGAGAGGTCGATTCCTCAAAGAAACTCTCCGAGCCGTCGTCCCGCCCTGAAAGTATTCGATGAGTCATCGTTTAAGAAAACTGTGTTACGAACGTAAGGCGCTACGCTTACACCTCTCCCCTTTACCAAAAGTCCGACCCGGACTGTAAGAACAGAGCAAAGGAATGATAGAACCGTCTCACCAGGCAATGTGGAGTCGGTTTCAAAAGAATCTATTCTTCCGGGTGTTAGGAACGATGGAGCCAATTGAGTTGCCCCGTCGAGCAAGCGGGACCATGTCGGTATCACACGTAGAGGAGGCGCATGTCATATGATGAACAGCCCATGTCGACAGCGAGTTGTTGCGACGTTGAGCCTGCGGTAGTCGTCTAAGAATTCTGCCGAATTCGGGCTGAAATTAGTTTTACTAGTAAGGATTATGACGACGTCTTTTTCGCGTGCTTGCACAGAGTCAACTGTCGTCAGCTCAATCTCGCGCTGGGACAGCGGCTCTCTGAGGTACCGGAATTGCTCCCTGTAAAAAGTGTTTACACAAATGCACGTTTTAGGGATATCATTTTGAGCCAAGAGGTCCAAGAGGCGCAAGCAACGTACCTCCAACGGTGCTGTAATGGGACTTACTTATGGCCTGCACCGATGTGCCTTCCATGTGGATGAACATAAAGGGTACGCCTGGGGACGGGAAGCGGATGCGAGAGTTCAGTAAGAGAGTACGCGCCTCTGCAGGTGTCCCACTGACCAATGATCCCGAGTACGCTATGGTGTTGGGGATCTCAATAAGAGCGGGGTGCGCGCGGAACGTTGTCACCAAAGGAGCGACAGGCACCCCCCGGAGCGTGCGATAGAATGGACATGACACCACGGGCGCCGTGTAGTACGGGATTTGACGCATGTGGGCACTTGGCGTGCGGGGTGAGTTGGTGCTCATCGCCGATATATACGTGGCGAGCGTCTTAGAAGCGGGCGGCGATGGCGAGAAGGGCAAGCTCCGGTATCTGGGAAGCTTCATCGCCTATGATAGTGCGAAACGGGGAATGTAGGACATTTCGGGGACGCGCTCAGGGTGGGCTAGGTAGTCTTCGAGAAGTTGCCGATGATTCCGGAAGTCAGCACAAATTACGCGTTCATCGAAGTCCAACTGGTTATAGAAGGTGTCGCCCAGCGTTTTCAGAATCTTACTGAGGTCGGCGTCCGTAGGAGTACGGTTGTCGGCTGCGGCTGAATCTGAAATGTGGCGAACAACTCGTCGATGAGAAAAGTCATCCGGAGAGAGCAACGTGTCAAAGAACTGGGCTACCGCCGCGTTCGTAGTCGTCGTGACAATAACGGTAGTTTTGGGGGTATCAGAAGACAAGGCAGCAATAATAGAGCCTATGAGGGTTTTGCCTGTGCCAAAGTCTGCCTGTATACCGACTATGGGCTCGTTGGAACAACCGAGGCGCACAGCCTCCTTCTGATCCGGGGTGAGGACTACCATTTGTTGCTGGACCGAGAAAGTCCAATCTACTTGTGGAAGATTGGGAGGGTCTCGTAGTTGCAGGGGCTGGTCTGCGTTCGGTCGAGGACGGCCGAAGACGAGGTCGATCACTTGGTGACCGATCGAGTCTGTTTGCAGGTTTTCAAACATAGAGGAACGAGACACTAGTTCATACACTGATTTGAGGCGGCCGAGGTCTTGACAAGGCGTATGCAGATGCCAGCGGTGTGACCGATGCCGATATCTATACCGTAAGCGGTAAACGCGCGCTATAGAGTCCGGTTCGACCAGCGGAAGGCTTCGGCGGTGACGTCCAGTCTGCGGGCAGGAGAATCGGGCTCGACGTGTACGACTTTAACCTGAATTAGGTTATTAGAACCTACAACCCAAACTACTGCATGACGGCCAGGGCCCCACCCTGCCTCTGAAGGCATGTCGTGGACGTGGAACCGAATGCGTGTAGGGAACCAACGGAACCAACGCGGCCAGACGGTTGTGGCGTCGGTCAAGTGAGAGCGGCGATCGTCACGGCGTTGTTAACGGCGACTAGTGCAGGACAAGCTGCGCTACAGATTTTGGCGACTTTAGCTTTCGAAGCGCTATGGTCGCTGACGTAGTTGTTGAATGGTCCCAGGCGATCCTCGAAGAAGGCGCGTTCCTCGTCGGTAATTCTGAAAACTTCGAGAGGAAGCATACCCTCATCTGGGTGCATGGGTAGAAAGCGACGGATGAGAAGGGCCAGCTGTTCTCGAGCCTCTAGGGAAGCGGGTGGTTCTGAAAACGCATCGCTGAGGAGACGTCAACGCGAGAGCGGGCCGAAACGATGTCATATTGCGACAGACGCCTGAGCGGAAACGAAGTGATAGCGGAGGTGAACGTAACGGTGTCTGGACACCCTTCGAAGGCTTCGCGGGCATGGACGACAGAGTTGCGGCGAAATTAGGTTGAGGATCATACCGTAAATCGGAGACTCGTGATCCTTGGGTCTGATGAAGGCGAAATGAGAAGCCCTGAAGAAGAACACGGATGAGGCACGCGCGATTCTTTCAGAGACTTGAGGGGTTCTTTAAGAGCTTGACGCGTGGGTTTGACATCGTAGACCCAAACGAAATCCTTAACTGAAACCAGTGACTTATTGAAGCCTCGACGATGTCTTACTATTTCTACCGCAAACGAGTCTAGCAGGATGCAGTGTAGGTCGCGCCTATCGGGACCTCTGTGAAGAAATCTTTCGCCTCGAGTATAACGCCGGTATCCCATCCAGTTTACACTACTTGATATAGTACTGGACGATAACCTTTCCGATACGGAGGTGCGGTTATATAGGGATGTTTAACGCACGACGTTCGTGGCAAACCGCTGACGTCAGTTTCCATGTAGGTACCCGCTAACACATTCTCGAGGACGAGCTGAGAACGCTCGCGGAAGCCGATCGTATCCTCCACGGACTGTAGCTCGATGAAGGGAAATTCCGACGGTAGACGTGGAGGCGTCCAATGACGATCTGAGGAAACAGGGACTTATTGAAGCGTAGAGACAAGTAGCCGCTGTCGGGTAAGTGTCGGTAAACTTCCGTACTCAAGGTAGTGGTCACAACTGAGAGGTTTTCCCAAAGCATATCGATAGGGCGTGGATTAACTAGGTAAGCCCATGGGTGGCGACGAATAAGGTAATGGGACAAACTCTGGGGGGGGGGGGGGAGTTGACCGACATCGACTTGGGGCAGCGGGCCGACGTGGTATTGCCGAGCAGCTCTACGATCACGACGAGCAGCAGCCCTGGAGGAAGAAGCACCGGAAGATTGGGGCTGAGGTCTACGTGGAACAGCCTGCGTGTCTGGTGACGAACCCTCAGGACGGTTCTGAGAAGATGTTGGGTGAGAAGGCTTTGCGTTTGAGGGTCTGCGACGACCTGAGGCTGAGCGTTGCGACTTGGGCTGAGGGTGAGACGAGCCTCGAAGATCGAGTTGGAGGCCGAGGCGAATTAGCTACCGATAACCGCCGCATGGATGCAGTTACGCGAACGACGGGGGCGCCGCTAGGCGAGAGAGGAGGCAGGACGTCGCTGTCGGTTGAGGCTGAAACAGAGGAGGTTGGCGCATTCGAGTCGCCTTCCGTGACCGAGTCCCTGGGGGCGGCAGTTCCTGAAGTGTCCATTAGACTTTCGGAAGAAGAAGAAGGAAAGGTATTTGAAGAAAAATGGGCTTCTGCTGACATGCAGGCAGATGAATTATTCCTTGTAACGGCCGCTACGCGACGTGTGGGAGGACCCACGGAATGCCTGGAAGGACCATCGGGGTCCGGAGGTTGCGATGTAGAAGGCGGATCACCCGTGTCGACAGAAAGCGCTAGAAAGAATATTCGGGCCTACTCAAGTTTTCTGAAACGTAAATGATAAAGTGGTGAATAAGAATCGAGCACGTGACGCGGTAATCAATGTACGAAGTGAATCATTGAAGTTCAGGAGGGGTAACGTGAGTTAACATAAGGGTTTGGATAAAGGCAGTCCGGAGCAGCTATTAGGGAACACAGAGGCGGCACGTATGCCTGCGGAAGTGAATTGACCATTTATAGGGACGTCCGTCTGGATCTAAAGCGGGTGTTGTAAGGGTGAGTGGGGGGTGAAGCCTGAGGTGGGGTTGGCGGGGTTGCTGTATGTTGGTAGCCAACCTTGGAAACATCTGTAGCACCCGAAGCCGAGAAGGCCAATTGTTCTATCTCTGGCGTCCATGGTGTGGTAAATACGGGACCCCTCAGCGAGTGGCACAATTTGACCTGATTCATGTGAACTCGTTTAGGAGGTGATTGAGGAGCTCAGATACTCACGATGGTCAGGTGAGGGAGATCCACCTCAATTACCCGGAATTGGCCAAGCCAAGGGTAGCTAAGTTTGCGTGACAGTCCCATTGAAGGGATAGAGGGTTCAAAGGCGACTGGTCGTGTTAACTTTTGAACTTTTGTCGTTGGCGATCGTTAAGAAGGGACCCCCAAGCCGCATGAAGGGTTGAAACCATGTTTTGAACGTACAAGCTGGCTTCCTCGGAGGGAGGAAATGATGCTCATTGTCGTGGCGAATGAGGAGGTCAATATTAAAGACAGGATCTCAGCCGTACATCAGAAAAAAAGGTGTATTGTTAGTACTAGTTGTACTGATGTGTTATACATAAAAGCCCATGCAGTCAATCCAATTGGTTCTCATTTATGTAAGTACGGAGCATAGGCTGGAAAGTGGCAAAAATACATTCACACGCACCGTTTCATTCGTAATGGTAGGGTGTAGTGAAGTACCTGCTAATGCGGAGCAGCCGTCCGAATTCCGACATGACTTCACCTTTGAAGTACGAAGCATTATCGGAGACAAGCTGAGTCATAACGCCAAACTTAAAGGCACAGTTCACGAAAAAGTGGTTTCGGAGATGGTTTGAATTCGAAGCCCCCTCTGATACCATTTGTGCAGGAATGAGGTCGGAAAACGGTCTGGATAGGCACAATAAGGGCAGGAACAGTGGGGGACGAGAGGCCTCCGCCCCTCGCTAGGTTGACTACGAGTTCAAATTGTCCTTCACCACTTTCGCATTGCAGCAACATTAGTGAAAAGTCGATAGGCTGGTTGGCAAATTGCCCACAGACGGTCAGCTAGTCGACCGTCTCGTATTGGGACTACTATTAGGCTGTTTCTCTAGTATTCGACAATATTCTACGGTTTTCTATTCTAATTAATTTTTCTCAGCCGTCGTCAAAAGGTCGAAATTGATACTGCACAACAAATCAGATTAATAGCGGTAGGAAAACTAGTTCTAATGAATAAGCCAAAATCAGCTATTGGTGTGTTGTGTGCAATGGCAGACACTGCGTCGCGTTTGTCTGACTCGCCCGAAAAATTCTTATCGCCGTTTTTCGCCATTTAGCTCGTCCGACCCCCCTTTTCCCTTGTTTTTTGTAGCTCTCTATTTCTTATATTCATCTTTGTTCGCGTTT